TTAGCCTCATCATATGAAAATAATGAACATACTTTAATATAGAAGAAGAAATATTTCACATCTTGGTAATACTCCTTGTGTTCAACGTAAAACTTCACATGTAATGTCTCAGTCTGTAAGTGACGTTAATTTTTTGGATGAGATACATCATGATATATCACCACAAAGTACTCCATACAGACTAATGAAGATGCCACTTAGGAGATACACTTCAAGTTCTAAACATAATGAATTATTCATTTCTCCTTCAACCAAACGATCAAGAAGTATTCTTTCATCTCAACAAATGACACTTTCTCATGAAGAATTAACTTTGAAAATAAAAAAACCATTAGTTGGAATTAATCAGAGTAATAATAGTCTTACACCAAGAAGTAAAAAAGATCATGAGTTAAAAGAAAAAGAAGAAGAATTAAAACAAAGAGAAGAGATAGTTAAGAAAAAAGAAGAAGAAGTTAATCAGAAGGAAAAAGAAGTTCTTGTAGTTCAAATTGAAATAGAAAATAGAGAGGAAGAACTTCAATCTTGGGAAGATGATATCCAAAGAAGAGAGGATGAAATTAGAGAACGTGAAGGTGAGGTTAGGAGAAGAGAAATAGAGTTAGAACAGAAAGAGGAACTTGTTCAAAAAGAGGATGAAATTAAACAAAAAGAAATAGAAAAAATTGAAATAATTAAAGCGGACTCTTTTAAAAATAGAGCTAGTGAACCACCAAAAGATACATCTAGTTCTAAAGAATTTGAAGAATTAAAGAAAGAAAAATTACAATTAGAACAAACAATACAAGATCAACAATTAAGAGTTTGGACATTAGAAGAACAAAATAAAAGAGTAGAACGTATTGTTAAGATGATGGACGCAAATGAACCTAGTGAAGATGATATTACTCAATTTGTTGAGACAATAAAAGAAATTGTTAATAGGAAAAAACAAAAATTAAGATTTATATTAACTCAAAAAATTGTTGACACATTTAGTCGATACGTCCAAAATCCATTAACACTATCTGCAATAATTACTCCACGAGGATCAATTAGAAAAAGTGAGAAGAAAAAAGATAAAAGAGAGTTACAATACATTCAATTCATACCGAATAAAATTGAAGAAAAAAGAAAAACATCACTCATTGTCAAAGATAATTATGAAATGTATAGGAAAGTGTGTTATGACTTTTATGCTAAAGAAGGAGAATATTATAGAATTATTAATGAATTTAATGAAGTTTATATAAAGAATATTAATTGGTCAACAATGAAAGACTTTGCAAAAGAATTTAAAGAACTTTTTGAACCAATATTAATATTAACAAAGAAAATTGTTGAAGAATTAGATAGGGCTTATTCAGATCCTATTAAGGACGCTGAAGGAAAATCATGCATTGCACTTGGAAGTATTTTAGAAAATTATGCACAGACATTAAGAGTTTATTTAAATTATATTATAAGATGCCCATATTTTGTTGATCATTTTCCAGTATTTAGTCAATCAAAAGAATTAACTGATTCTCTTGTTCTTTCTATAACAAATTATATCAACTCTCAACGATTAAATAACCCATCATTTGTAGTAAGTTCATTCTTACCTATTTCTGCTTATCTCCTTGCTCCAGTTTCTCATTTTTCAGTTTATCCACAATTAGTTAGAGAACTTGCAATGAATATATCAAATAATCATTTTGATAAAGTATCAATACAAAATGCACTTAGGATAATAGAAGGAATTGAGGATGAAATAGACTGTCAAAAGAATTATGCAGAACGTCGTGAGGCAGTTAGATTTGTGCAAACGTTATTTGTTAAATCAATAGAAATACCTGATGGTCATTGTGAATTATTATATTTTGGATTCTTAAAACCAGTTGATGTAGAGAAATTTAAAGTACATGATGACATTATTAGAGTATGTTTCTTATTTAATACAATGTTTATTATTACTAAAATTAAAACATTTCAAGGAAAAGTATTAGATAAGAAGGCATTAACTGCTAAGTTCTACCAAGAAATTAGTGGATTAAATGTTGAACTTTTAAAAGATTTCATATTAGAAGAAGTAGATCGATGTTTTATTACAGACCATATTATAATTTCTCTTATACAAAATGTGGATTCTATTATTAATGGATTTGTTGTAGAATTTAATGAGAAACAATACAATTTTATAGCCTCATCCCAAAAACAACAATATAATTGGTGTGATGCATTCTCTAATTTATTGTAATTTTTTATAAAAAAAAACTTCTTTTAATCATTTATTCTTTTTTATTACAGATGAAGCGAATATTTGAATTTTCATCTAATGCAGTTTCTCCTCCAACTCTTTCTAAAGTCCTCCAATTACTTATATTAGAATTTGTTCCTGATAAACTCCCTAGTTTTAATGATAAGTTATTAATGATAGAAGAGGCGTGGTGGTATTATATTGATGTTTACCGATTATTATATCCTGAGTTACCTCGTCTTGAATTTATTGATTTTGTAAAACAGATAGCTTTTTGTGTACCAACACAAAGTTCATTACAAAATGAATTAAATACAACATCACCAGACATACTTTTAAATGACTTTAATAACTTTAAATCAACTATTCCATGTTATGGAGCAATATTAATGGATGAAGACCTTCAACATGTTCTTGCAGTTCAAGCATTTAGAACAACTCGTTGGGGATTTCCAAAAGGAAAAATGAAAATTAAAGAAGACCCAGTAGTTTGTGCTGTAAGAGAAGTAGAAGAAGAAATTGGATTTAATGTACTTCCCTTTTTAGTCAAAGAAAATCCAATTGAGATTATTATGGGAAAGAAAAAAGTTACTTATTTCTTTTGTCACCACATTCCATTAACAACACCATTTCAACCAAAAACTAGAATGGAAATTCACAAAATTGCATGGCTTGATATCGATGATATTACTAGAGAAGTCATTGCTAAAAATCCAGACTTTAATTTTTTTAATCAACAGATGATAAATGCTATGTTAACATTTGTAGCTCATCAAAAAGGTATTGAACCTAAATTATTAGTTCTTGATACTCCTTGTAATTCTTCTTATTTATCTGAAAATTCTTTTGGAATGGAGTATTTCTCAAAGTTATATACTAACGCTTTTAAAACTGGTTCACTACATCGTTAACAATTTCCTTATCTTTTGAACAACGATAAATATAACAGAAATAAATTGTGTTATTCTAAATAATTTATTGTTATATAAAACGTAAAATTTTCGCTCTATTCTAAAAAAAGAAAACGAAGAGTTTAGAAACTAATTGAAAATACCAAAAATAAACTAAAAAATCTCCAATATAATTTTCTTAACATGTCGTTGTCAAAAGAATCCCGAACATCTTCTATGGGACCAAGAGCTCAAGTAAAATTTCCTTTTGAATTAATTCCTGTTTGTAACAATGTTATTAGTTGTTTTTTTAGGATGATACTTTATGCTCTATCAAAAAAAAAATCTTTCAGCCTTTTTAAACAGTTTTAAATTACATCCCAAAATTTTACTAAATACTTATATTCTTCTAGCCAATACAAAAATTAACTTTTGGACATCAGTACGCAGTACAATCGGTTCCTTTAAAACAAACAATTACATTTATAAATAAAACTGATGAATTATATAGAATGACAATAGTCGTTAGTACAAGTCCTAAATATACAATGGAAGTTGATGAAGAAAAAATTAAAATTAAACGAAAAAGCACAAAATCTGTCACAATTGCTATTTGTTTTAATACAGTTGCTACAGTTGGTTTAACTGGAAGTGTTACATTTGAAGTAAAAAAAAAAGCGTTTATTGGAAATGAAGCAAGTTCATTAACTCTAAGATTTCAAATGTTAGGAGTTATTCCTAAAGTATCTTCAAAACAAGTTATTCTTAAATTAGAACCTTTTAATACTTTGATACATTCACAACAAATTGAATTAGCAAATCAATATATACCAAGTAATTCTCAAATTAAAAATAAATTAGGTCAACATGAAGATTCAAAAATAATAATAAAAAGAAAAACAAATACAATCAATGAAAAAGACTTTATTACTATTTTAGAACACTCAAAAAATAAAGAAGATATTATTAAAATTGGAACAGTTACAGGGAAAAATGCACGTTATAATAATGAGCCATCATTTATATTTAATTTTAATGATGCAAAAGAAGATTTTAATGCTTTAACATCAATATATATGGATATTCATCATTTTGCAATAGTTCAATTAATTGGATTAAATTTTCATTCAAACTTTATGTTATTAGAAGCAGATACACAATATAATATAGAACAATTTTTAGATTGTGAGTTATCTATTCCATTTTTAACGAGGTGTTGTATTAATTTAGTAACTGCTTTACAATATTTATCTTCTCAAAATATTATTCACAGAAATATTAAACCAAGTAAACTAAGATTAGTTAAAAGAGCTTCACCTACTATTGGACTTTCTTTAATTAAATTACATGACTTTTCCTGTGGTATTGTTTTAGAAAATGGAAAACGAACAAATGATTGTGTTGGAACCATTGAATATATGGCACCTGAAGTTATTGAAGAACAAGAATATGATGCAAAAGTCGATGTGTATAGTCTTGGTATGACAATGTATCATATTTTTAATAAAAAGAAACCATATGGAGAAATGTCATTACAAGAAATTAAAGAATTTGTACTTTCTGGGCATCGGTTACCTCCAACAGATAAAATACCTATTGCAATAATAGGAATAATAACAAAATGTTGGAATCAAAATCCAGAACTACGACCAAATTATAAATGGATATTAAATGCACTAAATGATTTCTCTAGAAACTATACTGCTTAATTAGAATACTTTATTTATGATATTTCTCTGAATTGGGTTTAGGGTTTTATTGGAAAGAGTATTAACTTTGAAATAAAGAATATATAATGTCTTTTGAAATATTAATTGTATTACAAACAATTATCATTATTTGGTTATTGATAAAAAGAAATAAAAAGTGTACCAAATCTGTAAGTCAAGCCACTGATAAAATAGCAAATACTAATGAAGAATATAAAATGGTGTTATTAGTTAGAAAAGATTTAAAAATGCAAAAAGGTAAAATAGCAGCACAATGTGGTCATGCTGCTGTTGGTTGTGTTCTTAAAGCACAAAAATATGATCCAATTTCATTAAATACATGGAGATATTATGGTCAAGCTAAAATTGCATTAGTTGTAGATAATTTGGAACAATTAGAGCAATTAGAAAAGAAAGCAGAAAAATCTAATTTAATTACGAAAAAAATTTGCGATGCTGGAAGAACACAAGTTGAACCTGGGTCTATTACTGTTCTTGGAATTGGCCCTGCACCTGTTTCTGTTCTTGATCAAATCACTGGAAAGCTTAAACTATTATAAAAATGATGACTTTTTAGAAATTGTTTTCTTTGGCTTTTTTTCTTGATTGAGTTTAGGGAAGTGATGGATGTTCTCTATTTTATGTAATTTTTTATTAGTTTCATTAATTTTTAATGAATCAACTAATAGTTCTGTTTTCTTATATTTTAATTGGTCTTGGTTTTTTATTTGAGCTTTCCTTAAAGACGAAGCAGGAAAGAAAAGTTGATTTGGAGAAATAATTTGTCCAGATATTTGGTCAAATTCCATTTGGTTTTGTTGAGCAAACAAACCTAATTCTTTGAAAGAAATTTTTCTGAATGACTCATCGTCTTCAGTTGTATATTTTGCTAGATATTCATTCAGAGAGAAATTTGGTGTTTCATCAACGGGTGATTGAAAATAATCTCTTTTAATGATATTCTTTACTGTCTCTATGAATACTTCTTCATCAATGATATATTTTCCATTTGGTGCGGTATTCATCAGGGAATTGGTAATCTTAAGATCGAGATTAAAATAATAAAAAGGTAAGATAAAGTTAAATCTTTTTAGAAAATGAAAAGGTGAATAATAGTGAAAAGTAATATTTTTCATTGGTTTAAGTACTGAATTAAATATATATTTTTTTCCTTTTTTTTGTAATAGCCTCTACAAATTATCGTTCCTAAGTTTTAGGAAAACTTGATTCTCTCATATGAAAATTAGAACTTAAATTAAACAAACTATGGAAAACAAAGAGGAGAAGAAACAAAAAAAACATGGGATATTCTCCTTTTTAAAGAAAAAATCAAAATCAGCAAAATTTGAAGAGGAAGGATATGAAAAAGAAGACAAAAAAGAAAAAAAAGAGAAGAAGAGGAAAGAGGAAAAAGAAAATGATAAGAAGAGGCATTCTGTTGCAGTTGTTGAAAAGAAAGAATGTAAGGAGCCAAACAGAAAGTCATATGCCCAAGGAGGTAGTGTTAATATGTCATCATTTATGAACAGCCTTCCTGATTGGCAAGAAAGTACAAGAAAAGTTATTACTGATTGTAGCTTTGAAACATTCCCAATTGCTGGAGATTTACCTCGGTTATTAAAACATTTATCTATTGTACGTGAAATATCTGAAGGGAATTATGATACTCTTTTTCCTAAAGATGGAATTGTAAATAAAACAAGTAATGCTGGTGATTGTCTTCAAGTTATCAGATGTGTTACTCAACTTCTTGAAGGGGAAGAACAAGCAGAAAAAGTAGAAAAAGAGTGGAATGAAACAATTGTTAATGACCAAGATATGAGCGTACAAAAAACCTTTTTAATAAAGATTTTAAAAAAGGTTTTTGTAGAAGAAACAGAAAATAAAGAAATACCATCACCAGTTATTACATTTTTAAAAGCAATTAATCAAAAAATTATTGCAAATTCTACAATGCATTTGAAGATTGTTTGTGGTAATTTGTTCTTCAAAGATTCTCGTTTGTTATATTTTTTTAAGAAATAAATGAAATAATATTTATAATAAATAGAACCAATGTTTTGGGAAGTAGCTTGTATTCTTCAACAAAAGACATATTTAATTCATTATAGAAAACAAGAAACAACAAGTAAAAAACCAGAAGAATATTTTAGATTCTTATGGGAACTAAGACTTGTTTTTAATTCTAATTTAACTCAATTAGAAGAAGTAACAATGGGAATTTCGTGCATTGAATTTAAACCAGAAACTACTGAAGCTATTCGGACAAGTGTATTAAATACTCTCAAATCAATTCAATTTACTGATTGTCAAATAAAAAATGTAGGTGAAGAAGATGACCAATAATAATACTTTTGTTCTATTTTAATTTCGTTACAATAAGTGATACATTCATTCAATTAACAAAATATTTGGTTTTATCTTTCATATTTTGAGTTAATTGGAAAAAGAACTATACTTTTATTTCACTCTTTTATAAAATATTCGGTTTTGAATAAATTATAACTTCTTAGTTTTTCTGCCTTTTAATTAGTTGAGATAATTTAAATTTAAAAGTAAGATTATTAACACAATGAATTTATACCACTTTGTTTTATTAAATTTCTTTTTAATAGTTGATTGTCAGTTTCATTTTTATCAAGTTAAAGATCTTTTTTTATATTTAAAATAGATGAGTTAAGAAAATAAATAAGTTTATTTATTAGATGATTCAATCTTATTCACTAAAAAAAAATAAATTAGTAATAATAATCAGCATGAAATGTAAAAAAAGTTATTAAATTTTGGTAATAATTTTGGGAAGTTAAATAATTAATATTAGTTCATTAATATTTTTTTTATTGAGTGCTGAATTAGATAATAGAGATAATATAATACAGGCAATACAAATGAATAAGTAATATTAGAACTGAGTTGTTAAAGAAAAAACAAATACATTCACATCACAAAATTAAATGAAAAAGTTTAAGTGAAGTATTTATGATTAGTATTAACAATATGACTAATAACCATAATACAAAAATTGGTAATGTTATAAATGTATCTTCTATAAGGGTTTTGTTTTAATTTATTTTTATTTAAATGAATAAGCAAGATTTACTTTCATTATTTAATAAATTTAAAATAGTCATGATATGTATAAAAGAATAAAACAGAAGAAAAAGAAAATTACTTAAATCGTTATTAAAAAAAATAATAAATAAATAAACTATGAAATAAAAGAGAAAAAAGGATAAAGATAATAACACTTGATTTAATACAAAAGAATAAAAAAAAAAAAAGTAAATTAAGAATTGAGCCATAACATAAAACTAAAGATTTTGTGTATAGATAAGAAAAGAAATTTGGATTTAATAAAATATGTTTAGAATTTATATTTGATT